AAAAAAAAACGAAATTAAATTTCATCTAATTATGAAAATTAACTTCATTGTTATAAGAAAGTGTTACGACCTCTGGAATCTGTATTATTAGAAAGGAAAGAAGAAATCTGAATTTTGAACTGTATTTTCAAGTGAACGCGGTTACGTTGCAATTAAGTGGGAGCACTAATAGAATTAATAGTTTTATGATTTTTAATAGTGATGAGAATGTAGGGAATACATGGAAAATGTAATAGATATTGATGTTTCTTAGGAAACTTCTTAAAGAACACTATAATTGTAAGTTTCGTTCGCTTCAATCGAATTAATTCAATGTATCTTGTTAAAACTTGTGTTCAAATATACTATAATCAGAATTACTGAATTGCAGAGATTCTTATGATTAAAAAGATTAAAAATGAATGAAATAAATAGCAATGCATTGCTAACGGGAAGATGCAAGATCTCTATTCGGTTGACTAAGTGGTAACCCTTCGCACTCCGAATTTCTTTTGTTCCTCGAGAATTCTATGTTATTATTATATTTTCTTTGAATTGAGAAAGTAGTTAGTTTGTATTTAGTTCTTGCATTTGACAAAATAATTAACTGCATTTAATTCTTGCATTTGAAAAAATAGTTAACCGTATTTACTTCTTGCATTTGAAAAAATAGTTTGTATAGAGCAGTAAACGATTCTTACTAATAATATTGAAAATAACATAATAATATAATCTATTTGAAAAACATCTCGACAAGCTTTGGCCACCCCGAACCAAATGGAATTACTATAATTCATTCAATGAAACGATGATTATTTTAAAACGTGTTCATATTAAAAACAATGCAACCTAAAGCAGTAATGTTTAACGAGATAACCGTACAACAATGATAACACAGTTCAGTCAACAACTTTGATATTATATTCTTTTCCATTTTCTGTCTTTTGCTGCGTGAAACCGCTCGGCATTCAGCGTGCTAATTAGGAGATCGACGAGGAGTACACGAGGGAAATAAATGGCACTGAGACGAAACACATGAAACAACACCACTCACCAACACGTCGCGTCGATTCGACATTCGAGTAAAAACTAATAGCGTCTCTAGGTATCGATTACCGACGGCAGTAGCTCAATGAATGCGTAAGGTCAAATTCCCCAAGACTGTTTACACCTCTAGGAAACTGCGCGGCGACGAGAAACCAGTCGCTCAGCAGCCAATACGGATTCATTCGGAAAAGAAAAATTGAGAAAATGAACGTCAATTTGACGATTATTTCGTAAGAATTTCAGTCGATTTTGATTGGTGCAGTGATGCGAATACACGTTGTAATTTTCTGCTCTTGAAGTTCTAATTTTTTTATGGGCAAACATGTAGTCTTCTAGGAGCGATGGAATAAACTGTAGAATAATGCGAATCCAGTATTAATGCAATGGCTTCTGAAGTTATTATACAGTGTATTCGTAAACTATAAAGAGGGCTTTCTGGCGAAGAAACGAGTAAATCCTGCAATAACTAAAAAGAATACTATTTGTTACATTAAAATTTAGAAAAATGGGAAGGTATCAAAAAATCGACTTAACCGCGTCTGAAATTGTTATATAGAATATTCAGAAGCTATAAAAAGAAGGGCTGCCTGATCTACAAAAAACGACGAAACAAGTAAATCCTGGAATAACTGAGGATAATATTATCTACACCATTAAAATTAAGAAAAATCAGAAAATATAAGAAAATCGACATAATCGCGTCTGAGATTATTATACAGCACATTAAGAAGCTATAAACAAAGCTTTCTGACATAGGAAAAACGAAGAAAGAAGTAAATCCTTGAATAACTGAAAAAAATATTATATATTTCATTAGAAATAAAATTTAGAAAAATCAGAAACGTAAGAAAACCAAGTTAACCACGTCTGAAATTATTATACAGCATATTCAGAAGTTATAAAAAGGACTGGCTAACCTACAATAAACGAAGAACCGAGTAAATCCTGGAATAACTGAAAATAATATTATCTACTCGAACTCGAACATATTTCGACAGACACCACACATACAAGTGGTTCCGATGTCATAAACTATTAACAGAAGCGGTGAAACGGAACGAAGAAGACGATACCAGGCTAAAGTTTAATACTCCGACAATATATCATCATTACGGATCCCTGGAAAAATGCGGACTGTCTAAAAATGATATAGTAGGTATACACACTTCGCTCATTAATAACCCGTTTCACAGCGGCCCGATGACAATGAAGAATTCCTCGAACACCTGCAGTACATCTATTCACTTTCCTTGTTCTTAGATTATAACGAAATTAAATTTATAGAAATCTTCATTGTAATTTGCTTAATTATGCATACATTGGAATTTAATTGACTCTTTGAGGTTAGGTGGGTTAGGAAACCCACCCTTTGCTCAAATTTTTCCGCATGGTGGGATATATTTTAACTAACCTAGAAAAGTTGAAGTTACTCATAATCGTGCAGTTTAACGTTCCGTGCCACGGAAACTTCGCTTATATTTTCCTCGTGAACTGTATTGATTTTTTTAATAAAATATTAAGGTATATTCTAGTTTCTGGTAATTTTTATGTAGTTTCATATTGTTTCTTTATGTTTTCGCTGCTTTGTAACGTATACCGTCATCCGTGACCATGTATCCATCAAAAATATTTTCTTACAAAAATTGGTGGTACACGTGGAACGTGCTAATATTTCACTTAAAGTTTTTCATCCAGTTAACAACACTATGGATTAACGGTAAATGCGAAAATAAGTGAAAACAACAATTTATACAAGTCAAAACGCATTGATGAATCGTTGAGACTGGCGAATTATGTGGCGTAGTGAATTCTCTGTAGCTTGGGTTGTCTTCTTTACAAATGATTTAATTACTCAAACAGCAAGATATCATCACGTAGTTCCTCTTTTTCCTATTGTTTAAGCAACTGACGTATATTTCAACTTCATCAGCTTCATCTTTTGTTTATTTCAAAGAAATTTCATCAACAAAGTCTACAGTAATCAAACCATTAGTATTCTCATTGATTCGTTGTTACAATATATTCATTATTTCTTATCATTCGTACATGATACGTGCAATTTCGTATGTCTTCTATAGAATAATAGAAAACATAACATCGTTGATACGAAACGATTGAATTCGTTATAATTCAGACATGAAGTCTCAATAAACATCGTGCACGTATTCTTGAAAAAAACCTATCGAACCGCATTTTCGATGGGAAAATAAAATACCGGCCCGACAGCGACATTACTCATAAGGAGGGCCGATACTTGATATCGATGCACGTTCGCAAATATAACATGCAATACCAATAAATCAGGAGGCGGGTATTGATTGCCCGCGTAAACCAACCAATAAAAATGCATAGACCTTAAAAACCATTATTCGTCCCCTGTATCGTTCCACGTGCTCCGCCCCCAGGTAAAGAAAATATAAATTCGATTCATCAATAAATCAGACGGCACTGTGTTCGTCCCAATTATATACGTCAACATGCTCTAATAGATTTAGACGAAACAATTGAGGCAGACTAAACTCAGCGATACGATACCATAGAATCAGAACTAATTGAATTTACTAAATTGCCAGGCAAACACCTTTGTCACGATGAAATTCATTCAATATTCGGTTTCTTAGACATTGAGGGGTCAAGACGGAGTCCGCTTAAGACGTTAAATACTATGCTGGTCACCGGTGACCTCAAATCGAATTACTATAGCTTACTCAATTAGTACTAGAATTACCAGTGAAAATGACTGGTTTTGGTTTCTTTGTTTCGCAATTATTAATATCTTCGAAGCATCGAATATTCGAAATGATCTAAAAAATTAATAGTTTCACTTGAATACTATAATGAATGTCCGAAAAAACTGAAAATAATCTATTGTGACAATTTTTATAGGGATTAAATGTCAATCATATTAAATGCTCAGTAGTTCTAATGTTAAAACATGATTATTTGAAAACGTTTCTACATTACAGTAATGCTGCCTAATACGCTGGCATTCAGCTAGATGAACGTGCAATAATAATAATTCAATTTAATCAAGTGATTGAATATTACAGTTTCCCATGTTGCGTATGTAGTTTGCTCTATGAAATGGTAAACCGTTCAACGCGTTAACGCATTCACTGTCAATGTTACACGTTTGCGACAATACCAGTGTATTTTACATGGAGGTCCGTGATTTAATTTTTATATAAACATTCTGAAGATCAACAACTTCTATTTCTCGCATACTTCAAAAATGTCGAAGGAAACGTTTTATTTCGAACGTTAATATAATGTTTATATATTAACCGTAAACGCCGTCGTAATGGCGACTTCGAGCTTCGATATTTAAAATCGGAAACTGCAAATGAATTATTCAACTAACGAGGGACTGATTTATGATTCTTTTTCTTTCAGTCTTGAACAATTCGATGCATAATTCAGTTTTTCTTGAAAAGAACTGTTAAAAGTCTGAAACAGTCTCATATAAAAAGTCAATAGAAAATTCTCGATCGCTAAAGGTTAAACGAATGTTTAACAATCATCATTACAACAACCGGAACAAGTTGCTCGTAGCAAATGCGTTCAGTTGCTCGCCACTCGAGTAACAAGTGAAAACAAATTGATTGTCTATCCGACCGATTCTCCGAGAAATTAGAAAACAAAGATATTTAACCCTTTGACGAATGTCGGCATTTTGTTGAAGTCAAACTTCCATGTTTGGAATACCAAGTTGCGAACAGATGATTGAACTATTGGAGCAGTAAGAGATCAGTACACAGTTTTCTCATTCTCTATGATTTAAGAATTGAGTGTATATTTTATATCTAGATGATATAAAATCTATAATTTATAATTTAGCAGAATCTGCAAAAGGTTTTGTACACTTTTAACAATCGTCGTCCGCAAAGGGTTAAACCTAAACAAGGAATCTCGATAGAGGACACCGAAATCTCGCGAGTTTTACAATTTGTCGCTCGCGTAGCGGGGATTTGGAGGGCTCTTTGAACAAGTAAATCCTCCGAGGGCTGTAAATACTTCGTCGAATCGACTCGCGTCGGGCATACGTTCGCTTTATCTCCCGCATTGTATGGAAAATTGGTTTAGGTTAACGCCTCGAATTAAACTTTGAATTAAACAGCTTAGTCGCAGAATAAATTCTCGTCGCAGGAACAGCACGCAGGCCGGTGCACTGCCGTTTCACTGGAAAATCGCTGGTGGTATTAGGCGCGAAGGCTGCGGGATCCCGAACGACGCCTTATCTCTAATGCAAAAGTGTATACGTGTCCTGATAACACGGGAATTTATATAGACCCGTTTCAACCATGCTCGGGTATACTGATTTTCAACGAATAAATCGCTAAGTGTTTGCGCGTGCAGCGGTTGATTGTGCGTTAAGAGTTAACGCTTTGAGGCACACGATTCTAAAGAAGAAAACTCAATAGTTTTTAACCCGCTTAACACCAAAGAGTTAACACGTTGAATGCCGTGGGGGCACTGTTGACCTCAACAAAATCGAATTACTATCATTCATTCGATTAAACGATGATTATTTGAACACTTTTCTATGTTACAAGCAATCTATATTACAAGCAATGCAGTGACATTCAACAAGATAAACCTGCAATAATAATGTAATTCGATTACATAAGTTGATGTTACATTATATTCATTTTGTAATTATTATTAATCCTTTTCTTGCATTAACCCTTTGCGGACGAGTGTCGACGTTTCGAGATGGAATTTTCATATTTGGAATACTAAGTTGTATAGAAACGATTTAATTATTTGAACAGCAAGAGATCAGTACGTAGTTTCTCTTTTTTTATTATTTAAGCAATCGATACATAAATTAGCTACGTTTGCTGAAGGTTAGTATATTTCAAAGAATCTTCGACTACAAAGAGTTAACACGTTGAATGCTATGGGTGTCACCGATTATTCTCAACCAAATCTAATTACTATAATTTACTCAATTAAATGGTGACTATTTGAATATATTTGTATATTATACATTACCTAGTGCGGCGACATTCAGCAACATAGACGTTCAATAACAATAACGCAATTCAATAATGCAATATTATATCTTTCTACATTTCGCGTATTTTGCTCCGTGAAACACGCGGCGTTCAACGTGTTAAAAAAGTAACAGATGCTTCTCTGAGAAATTATTAAAGACATTAATTTAGAAATACGAAAACTGAATTGTAAATCAATTAGAGTCTCAGTAGATGCATTCTTGGAGTTTCTATAGCGGAATTTCAAAGAGTCAATGTAACTGCTCGGTAGTTTTAGGGTTAAAGATTAAATGATTCAGCGTGAAGATTGAAAGGTTTGGATAATTATTATGTAGCAGGTTATATCAACTATTGATATGTACTGTTAGATTTAATATTTAGCTTCCGTTGAACCGAAACTGTACGATTTCTCTGCGATATTTGCCTCTGGCCGAAGGAGGAAACGAACAAACGTATTCATTCCATTTTGTCGCGGTTGCAGTTTCCAATATGGCCGCCATTGACGACTGAATTTTAATATGGCAGTCTAACCTTTCAAACATTTCGTGCTCGTGTAAAATGAACGAGCGAACGTCGATGATTTTATACGTGCATGTTAATAAATAATTACCGATGAAAACTAACTACGATGGATATAATTATTGCATGCAATGAATATTGCTGTAGATCGTGGATTATTAAGTAAATCGAAAACAGTTATTAAAATCATAATTGCGGACTTCTCTTAATCATGTGATATTAGCAATAATTGTGTTTCCGACTCGCAAATAGAATACTATGTTAAAGTCATTAATAACGTAATTATATTCGGATTGCGTCGTGTAATTACTAGTGAACTCTATAAAAGATTATTACGAAACGATTGTATCGTGTTGAACGAATGTGTTATCGATAAAATATCGGTAGAAAATCAATAGAAAATGTATCAATAGAATCGTATCCGATACGAACCAGAAAGCTTTTCCATCTTTAATAGTTACAACGTTATTTCGATTCTTCATGATCGTTTCAATCAAAACTTTTATATAACAGTTATTTTCTGAAACGTCCCGACTTCTGACATTACATGGGCACAACGTAAATTCAACTCCGTCCGTATAAAAATAAATAATTGTCTGTATAAGTGAATTCAAACCGACATTAAATTTTCCCTTTTACGTGCCACTCTCCAAACAAACTGACTAACTCCATGCTTTGAATAGTTCAGAATGTTTAAATTCAGCTTTATATAGTGAATCCCTTTGGTGCGACATGTGGCTGAAGCATGACGCAATTATCCACATACCCAATTTGAAATTTCAATTTAAAATTTCATTCGATCCTTTTTACATCTGCCCTCCACTTTGTTCGTGGCCGCATTTCATCGTTAACCGGCCAATTAGAAGGAATTACATTTTCAATCTCAAAGCTTATGGGTCGTGCAACCAGTGTACAGGGTGATGCAGAAATGCGTGACATTATCTTAGGTAGGTCAAGTTAATTAATCTACACATGAAAGTACAATAGTTATAGAACGTAGAACAAATTTTGAAAAATTTTAGTTTGCAATTTTATAGACGTGAAAGGAGAATATATTCTTTGTTTAAACTCTTTTTTCGCTATCTTTTACTGTTCTCAAGACAGTCATTAGGCATGACTTAGTCTACTTAGTCACAAAGTTTCATAATTTTTTTAATTTCTAGGTTCGATAACTTCCACTGTTAGTTTTCGAATTATAAGTTCTTGAAAAAAATCTTCAAAACGTCTGCTTACTATATCTGCCACTGGATATTATCTTAACATTGAATCCTGCATTCTTTAAAAAATGCCAACTGTTACTCGAATAGTCTCAAATTTCGTCCAATTCATATGGATGTGAAACATAAATAATAAAACGTGAAACGTTCCTTTCAACCATTCGAATCATTCATTTGCCAATGTAATTAACTCAACAAAATAAAAAGCACAAGATTCAATCAAATGGCAAATTGACAGAACCATTTCAGTGTTCCAACACCAAACTTAGAAAAAATTCAAAAAGTAGGGTTAGACGCTATAGAATGCGAGTGTCTGTACAACTCGAAGATTAAAGTACAAAGAAAACAGAATTTCGTAAAACATTTTCACTTACATTCACGCGCAGGGTTAACAAAACTTACGTTCCCGAATCGCCCTGTCCAAAACGCGTGAAATGATTGCATCATTATCGTTCGCGAGCGGCGAATTGATCGTTTCAAGTGAAAATAAATATCGAGACGGTCACAAGTGACCGTGGGCGTCCGCCATTGTTACGTCGCGCCATTATATCTTTCTCGAGGCAGAGGCGCCCTCGTCTGCGCGCGATTTGCGTCGTTTTTCTTTCCGTCGTCAATTAAAAGAGACGAAAACAAAAAGAAAACTTGTATCTTTTCAGGTGACAAGACGGAGCGAGAGGCAACAAATGCCGGTGGGCGGACGGGTCGCTGGGAAAGTCGGGATCTACAGCTCCCATTATAATGGTAATGTAAACAGGGGATATTATTATATCACGACCTCCGTGAATCGCGACTGAAAATATTCGTTCGGCGCACGTTGCAATTTACTAAAGCCCGTCGAAATAATATCAATATGCGCATATTTACAATGTTGAGTCGATGGCGGCGAGGAGAATGGAAATTTCCCAGCGCGCGGTTCGTTTACGACGAAATAACATTACGGAACGACCGTGCTCGCAGAAAAACAATATGGACGTTCTGTTCTTTTTTATATGCGTAACGTCCGACGCTAATCGTGTTGTCGAAACCAATATTTTTACGCTTTTGTATGGCGATCATCCGTTAAGGGAATAAGTCGCTCAATACTAATTGTACCGCGAGCCGATTAAATGTGCCGATTTTGGAATTCGATTTAGAATTCTGCGTTTTCCTTAAACCCTTTAACGTATGATTTATTTCTCAACTATGATCGATACAATAACTTTGCACTCGAAGCTTTTTCTCAGTTGTATTACCAGCAACTCGAAGTAATTATAATAGACAGAGCATATTAACATATAAATAAATGATACGTATGAAAAGAAAGGTCATAGATGTATTTCACTATTTTCTATCAATTATAGATATAACTGCTATATTTAATGACAAATTTTAAATAACTGCTCCGGAACCTTCGAGTGCAGAGTTAATAATTTATTGAAAACACAGAAGAATTCTAGGCATATTATAAGTCTGTTTGTTACAGAGTATTATTACCGATAACAGAAGAATAATATTTATTTGCAATTGAACCGAATTGAGTATTATTTATCCTTGCCAAAATTCTCATTATCGTTGTATATCGTCCGATTAGTCAATTCTTCAACATTCGTCTTTCCTTTTGTTTCTTTTACCACTAAAAAAGAAATGTATTGTCCAACTTGTTTACGTTCATTTTATAGCCAGTTATTCGACTAGTTACGGTAGGAAAAATGCCAGTTACGGTTAGTATTAATTGATTACGAAATTTACGAAGCGTCTTTGTGGCCATCTGTTTTTTCACGAGGGAAAATTTATGAATTCGTTACGCGATGGACATTTATGGCTTACTTCTGCCAGCAGTTTGGTCAGCCACATTGAACGGAACCAAGGGGGACGTGATTTATTTTCCGTGAAATAAACGCGGTGACTTTCTTGACGTTCTTTCGGAGATACGGGATATGAATCATTCTTATGAAGCTGCTGGAAAATTTCCATCCCCTCGGGATATTAATGTTTCAGAATGCGCAGATCGATTCATTTCGCGGGATTCTGTGTGCCGCAGCAATCACGGCGAACGAATATGATCTGAGTAAACCAACTTACTTAATTAAACGAGCTTGCGTTAGTTACACTTTATTTCCGCGCTTCTTTTCCCGCGCTTCTTGAGCGATTAATTCCCAAGTGCATCGTTAAGACCTGCTTTCTTTTAATTCAATGAGCACTAAAAGTCTCTGTAAATTCTTTTCTTCCTACTTTACGACTTTCCATTTGGAACGCAATAAAATAGAGAAGGAAACGTCTATTAAAGGAAAACAAATTGTAGTCACATTGTTCTTTACCCTTAAATCTTGAATTGCCAAGTCATCTTCATGCTCGTGCTACATCGTCGATCTGAAACAAAACGCTGATACTTACAAACGTATATTCAAAGAAGAAAATTTAATTAACAGTTTCATTATAATCCTTCGTCGTTTCTGAGATACTAACTCTTTACAGTAAGAAGCTTCTTTCGTTATATATATATTCATTATTCTCTTATGAAACATTAATGGTTCTTTTGACAAATAATACAAGCGTATATAATATACAAACGAAGAGATAAAATTATTCTATTTCACCGTTTCATTTCTAATTGCATTATACGAATTTTCCTATCGAACTTTATCATTTCATTGCGTCAAACTAAATGATAACTGTAAGCCTCTCGATCGCAAAGGACTAAAAATATTATTTCAACAACATTTATTCAGTTTCACTATTAAGACGTATTCTCCCTTCAAACAGTTGTATTAAAAATTGTTCACTTAACACGATTTCTACCTTCTTTTTCGACACCTGAGATTTTAATTGGAAATTGTTTTCCTAGTTTAGTCGTGTTTTTTAATTAAATTTTCGACTGTTCCAAGAGCAATTATAACGTTAACTGTAGGAAATGTCCAAAATTCGATCGAGGAGAAATGACTAAACTGAGAAAATAGTTTTAAGTTGAAATTTCGTATGTTCTTTGACACCTTCGGTAGAAATGGTGTTAATTTCAGAAGGTAGACCGGAGATCAACGAAATCACGTGACATCGATTGACAAAGCGATCGATCACGTTCAGACAGGAAAGAAACATTTCGCGACCTGCCCTTGCCAGATCCATCAGTTCCTAAGAAAAACAGAGTTTAAAAGATGGAAGACTCGACTTCTACTTTAACTTCGGGGAATTTTTCTCCTCAGCATTTCTTAGATAAATATATTATCCGAAGCCATCAGCGGGACTTGCCCCTGCGCCGCATCCCCGGTCCGTTCAAAAGACTCCTCGTTCCGATATCAGGTGCTCGGCGAACCTACACCGTTACTCTCACAAGCAAGTCCCGGTGATGGGTTCTCATAATCTACTGAGTCAAGAAATACCCAAGAGAAAAATTCCTCGCGGTCAGGGGAGTCAAGTGAGCTTCAAAGTGACCTAGCCGAGCAAAGTGGTTAACAGTTTGAGTGGCCCATCAACCCCGGGAATCTCCGCAACGGTGATATAGTTATTTATCATAGTTGGGATTCTTATGGAATATCAGGTTCTTACACGCGGATTTCTCAAATTCCATGATGAATACTTGCTTTACAACTGACTTTCTTAACAAACGCAACTGTGCTTTATCAAATATCCTGTGAACGCATGAACATCTACAGTTCAGTCATTCTACCCTTTCCTCTGTCAATTCTTCCTCTTTACAATTCACTGCTACGCAAACTGGCAACTAGAAAATTAATAAACAATTCCTCTTTAATCCTTTTCTCCTGTGAATTCATGAACATCCGCAGTCCAGTCATTCTACTCTTTCCTCTGTCAATTCTCCCTCTTTACGATTCACTGCTACACGAACTGGTAACTAGAAAACTGATAAAAAATTCCTCTTTAACTCTTTGCACTCCGAATTTCTTTTGCATTTTCTCTGAAATGCATTCGAAAAAATAGTTAATTTGTAGAGAGCAGTGTAAACGATTCTTCTTACTAATAATATTGAAAATAACATAATAATAGAATCTATTTGAAAAATATCTTGACAATAACACCTATGAATAAAACTGATGTCGATTCACGACATAGGAGCACAAAGGGTTAACACTAGAACTACCAGTCAAAATAACTGGTTCCAGTCTCCTTGTTTCGTAATTATTGATACCGTAAGAGCATTGAATATTTGAAATGATTTCGAAAATAAACAATTCCGCTTGAATACTATAATCAATACACGAAGAACCTGAAAATAATCTATCGTTACAATTTTTCTATAAACTACATATCAAACACATTAAATCCTCAGTAATTCTACTGTTAAAAAAACCAATCACTTAACCACTCACCTCAACACTCAAAGTCCTCACCTTCCTCAACCCCTAACCGTAAAACAGTAATCCCAAAAGTTTAATAGAAAATCTTCCCAAACCTTAGAACTCACGCTCCCAAATCCCTTTCTCATACACACATACACACACACACAAAACTCTTAACCATAGGATCATCAACCAACAAACCACCAATCAACCTAAACCGTTAAAAGTCCAAGACGAAGTTTATCCAACTGCTCCACGCCTCCCAGTGATTTCGCTGCGCCGTATTTCATACCGTAAGCTAACTGCCCGATAGTTTATGGGTCACTAGCAACCCCAAATCCCTCTAACCGTGTCGTTACCAAGATAACTGCACTTTCGGAACATCCAGCAAGACCTCAAGTTCCGCGCGCCGGTTGCCCCTTAATGTAGACGCGGCCAGCGCAGAATTGCGATTACAAGATAAACACAGCATGCTTTCAGGGAAAGGGTACAGCGGCATAAACGAGGAGATCATATGGATCAGCATCGGCATGGGGATCACGATCACCGTACTGATCACGATCGCCCTGTGCTACATCGCCCGGGAGAAATGGCGGAAACGCCACGACGGCTACTACACCTCCTGACGAACGCTGCCGCCGCCCTCCTGGGCCACTTGGTCCTTCACGCCCTCGACCCCCGGCGTCTGCTTCAGCCCGACGACAACCAGAGGCAAGCCGAGGGCGTACTACATCACCATCTAACCGCTCCGATCCGTTGACTAATGACTCCGTTTCAGCTCGGGCGGACCCGACGTTCCACAGCGAACGAAAAATCGACCGGAACACCCTTCCGTCTCCATTCTGCTGCTCTCTTCTTCCACCCCTGTCCCCGTGTCCACACCCCTCTGGCTCTTCTCCTTCCCCGTCCGGAAGGCTCGCGAAAGAATGATCGTTTCGGTACCGAAAATGGATTCTGAATGCACTGAACAGAATTGATTTATCGTCGGTGTAAATATCTCGCGGAAGACTCGGCGAGTGGAAAGCTAATGGTCGCGCTGCGAAGGGAGATTGTCTTGGGATACTTGCGATTCGTAACGGACCGGGTATTTGCTCTTTTCGACTGAAGGGAACGGTGAGCGTCGAGTTGAATTGTTTTAAGGCTTCGCTCGAAAATTGTGGTTCTCCGTTTGGATCGTGGATTTTCGAGATTCGCTGTGATGATTCGCTGTTTTGTCGTTTATTTATTGTTATGGCGAAATTAAATGTGTTCCGATGGTTTTGAAGAGTAATATTGAAGTTAGTTTTGAATGGAATAATTATATGATTGTTATGTATTGGTTTGCTGATTTGTACTGGTGTGTCGAGCCATGAGTTAGCGATTCGAACGTATTTGCAGTAACGTGTATATTGATTACGATGTTAACGTCTACTTTGAAATCCGAAAGAAATCTACACCTGCTCCGTTTCCCACAGCTGGCTAGATAAGATGAGTATCAGTATACAATTTGGAAACACAAGAATCCATCTATTTACTGGCTACGCTGAACCCACTCCCGATAACCGAGAATCTCGTTTAACCAGCAGGAACCCGTTTAACCGAGATTCCTCGTCGTCGCACGAAAACACGTTCAATAATCGCGGGGATGATACCGAAACGCGAAAGGATATCTCTCCCCGTTTATTTGATATGCGCATCGGAATAAGACAATGCGAGGGAAACGGAAAATCCTGCAGGGAAAGATCAAAGAGGAGGAATGTTCGCGATGCGTGGCGGACAAAAGATTCCTAGGCGACCGCTGCTCTCTAAAGTCACAGTCAATTTTTAAACAAATCTCCTGGCAAGCGGCGCGACAGTCTGATTTATGACTGGGCGCCTCTGCCAAACAGCAATACTCTCCGCACCGTCGCGTCGCGTTGCTTTCGAGGCTTTCGCTTAAAACGCGCGTCGTATTCGCCCGGCTGGTCCGTTTTATGCGACACAAGAGTACGTGCAACCCGGCGTTCGTTTCGAAACGCGTCCGTGCGCCCGCACCAAGGAAAACCTGGAACGTGGCGTATTTTAAGATTCTTTTTAACCGTGGAACAGCATCACTTACTTTTTAAATGCACACCGTCGCCCAAACGTCTGGAGCCTGATGCAACTTCAAATTCAACCAAGTGTTCATCGAATCGACTTCTCACCCGGCATATTCCGCTGCGACGCTGAAACGGGAGCGCGATTAACCGTTCGAGTCCCAAGCGGCGCGATGGCGGTTCTCTGTTACATTGTTCAAAAGTAGAAGTCTATCGGTTCGTAGAATCAGATGAAGCTTATTTATTCATTTTCTATCTAATTATTAATTTTCATTTCTCTTATTACCCGCTTAAAACTGAAGGAATGTAACGATCGCGTTATTTAAAATTTGCTTTTATAAAAATAGAAGAGCGTCATTCAGTTTTGAAATCGAAAGGAAAGAAGCGCGATCGCGCCGCTTGGCATTTTTCGACCGGGTTTTTGCGAAAACCCGTGGGACTCAAACGATTAAACGTAAACCCACAGTGTATTCTTACTGTATTCAGGAAGAAACGTGATCTGCCGGGGTCGCTCTATATTTTTGCGCGACGGCGTATGCGTGTTTGATACCTCGTTAGCTCCGAGTCGAATAGAAGCTGGCGCGCAAAGAATTTCCCCAAGCGAGCTCTCGGGCAAAGTAAATTAGACGTTGAAGATCGACGCTCGCCGTCTGCTTTCTCCGTTCAATGCGGGATTTTTGTATTCCGCGGTTTTCTAATCCTTTCATCGTGACTCGCGATCCGACGGAATGACGCCAGTGGTCACCGGCCAACTTTGAGAAAGCTCGACGCACAATTCTCTGTCCCATTCCTCGAGGCTGCAACCCTGTAAAAACGTATTTGTAAATGTAAGTAAGATGAAAGTATAGTGACTCGATGCTGTCATAGTACACAACGTGGCGCGCGAAGGTCGCGGCGATGAGGATCTTTTATTCTTCCTCGCGCCGCGATCTTCCACGCGCCGATAAATCGGTCGCTCGGAAGACACGCGAGACGATTTTGTGGATATTTCCTGAGTTTTCGAAATTTTCATGGAGTAAATGATATTCTTTGTAATTGTTCAAGGATTTACTCGTTTCCTTGTGTTTTCTAGATTGGAAAGTACTTTTTATAGCTTCTGAATATGTTGTATGATCGTTTTGGTAGCCATTACGTGAATTTTCTCGATCTTTTTCTAGAGTTAATCGCATTGGCTTCTGAGCGACTTAAATGTATATACGATTGACCGGGTGAAATTCACTTTTCGACTCGGGACTTTGTGATCGCTTATCGTAAAACAATCGGCAAAAGTGAATTGCTCTTGGTTCCGTTAAGTCTTCAAGGGCAACGCTCGATTCCCGGTTCCTCTCAATTCTCTCGGACTCTTCTATCCCCTTCGCGAACGTCGCCGTGATCCGCCGATGATTTCGACCTTTTGCTATTTTTGATAGCTACCTTCGATTCTAGAAAGTCTAGGAATTCTGGGAAAATGATGATCGAATATTGAGGACAAATAACAGCACCATCTCGCGGACGTTGTTCTTGAAGGATTAACCCTTTGCACTCCGAGTTCCTTTCGCGTTCACTTTCCCATAATTCTGTATTACTTTGAGTGCTTCACTTGAAATGTTTTTCTAAAGACGATTAGTTAACACGTTAAGCGCCACGAAAATTTTGAGTGTTTTATAGATGATTTGTTCTTTGGCAGCAAAGGTACATAGGAACAATTACTAACACTAGAACAAGCGAGCAGTCAAATCGGCATTACCAAATTTGTTTATGGGAACTCTAAGAATACTGTAAGGTTTCAATTGAGTCATTATTCAGTTTGATATTACTAAATCAATTTCTTTAGTAATTCCGCAGAGAAGCATCTGTCATCTTTTTAACAATTGGGAAAGAAGAACGTAGGAATGGGTCAGTTTAACCCATCTGGTAGTTCTAGTATTAACTATTTAATATCAGAATTCTTTCATTACACTATTCTTAACTTATTTACGTTGTCAAATATTTTTGGTCGACAGTAGTCATTTTACATATTGTAATTCTCTTCAAGCAATTCAGAAATGTCACTCACCGATGACTGACACGGCACTTAACGTGTTAACAGCGAACAGCGTGAACAATTCTTTTTACTGAGCTATAAAAAATAATCTAACATAATACAATTAACACTAGAACTACCGAGTAGTTAAATTCACTTTTTGAAATTCCTCTATACCAACTTCAAGAGTGCATTTATCGAGACTTTAATTGATTAACAATTCAGTTTGCGTATTACTAAATCAATTTCTTGAATAATTTCTTCAAGAAATATCTGTTATCTTTTTAATCATTGCAAAAAGAAAAAATTAGGAATGGGTCATTTTGACCCGTCTGGTAAGTTTAGTGTTCAAGAAGTATCCGTACCTTTGCAATCATTCCAAAAGAAGAAATTGGGAATTGGTCATTTTGACCCACCTGGTGGTTCTAGTGATAAAAAACGTCACAGTTTCGAATAAATTCGCTGTCGAGTCGTATCCGACGTAGGAGCGCAAAGGGTTAAACGCGTCGCCGTTCGAAACAGCCGCGCGAAGCTTCGTTTATTAATCTGTATGTACATCTTTCACGAATTTAACGTGTCGTAGCGACTTCGTAACGTTCATCCAGTGTTTTAAAAAGGGACGACAGTTACACGCGCGCGGAAACGCATGTTCCGCGCGAACGAGGACAACCTACATGTAGTCCCGAGTGGAAACTCTATTGGAAATGGTACAAAGAATGATGCTCGGACTCGATGAGGAAGCTTCCTTTCTGATCCAGGCCACCGTGACACGGCCGCGCCGACGTTCGTTCGCGCGACAAAGGGACTTTAACCCCTTCACGTATTATTTACTTTTTCTACCAAACTCGTGTAACGTTTTACTATCGACAATTTGGAATAAAAGCAACAAAATTGTCCATTCTGCTTTAACACGTTAAGCGCCAAAATTTTGGACGTTTTTTCGTAGTTATTCTTTTATAGCAAGGAAAAACAGGGACAATTATTAATTATTTGGCGTTGCAATCCTCGCAGTGCAATGTTATCAACTTCGTTAGGTTGAAACCGAGTATCGAAACACGATTTCCTCTAACATCGAATTCCCAATGTTACTACGAATCAATATACAAGATGTTCGAGCAATCTTTAACTCCTTGCCTTACGATTGCATTTCGTAGGTGCATTTGTTACAATTATTTATCGTGAACACGTCGAATACCATGGGGGCCACCGGTGACCCCTAACCAAATCAAGTTACTATAGTTCATTCAATTAAACGATGATTATTTGAAAACATTTCTATATTATAAATAATACTAGCTGATGTGACATTCAGCTAGATGAACATGCAACAATAGTAATGCAATTCAATCAAATGATTTAATATTATATTTTTCCCATTTTGTGTATTTTGCTCTATGAAATCGTTCGGCTTTTATTGTTTTCAAGTAACAGAAGCGTCAGTCATCGATGACTGACATGGCGCTTAACGTGTTAACACGTTCGCGGACAGGAAAAACTTTAATGAGCTGGAAAAATAGACAGTACTAAAATGCAATGCTCCGAGGGTTAAAGTGCATAATAATTTCAAAAGATTAAAGCTATATAGAATTAAATGCATGATAATGTGACTCATTATTCTGAATGTTATAGCATTCATGTCATTTTGCATCACAATGAAAATGAATACTACAGCATTCACATCCGCGAACGTGTTAAGCGGAAATTTCATTTGAAGATAATACATTGATAACAGCAAAATAGTTTGCTTCGATTCGTGGGCAATGAACAACATTGATTTTTATTAAATCTAGAGATCTTCATCGCGAGTCTCAGTCGTCATTGAATGGCAAGGGGTTGAACGTTCCTAAAATGGCCTGGTGCCGCGAGCGTCGCGCCCGACATTTTGGGAAACTTCTGCCAGTCACGTGTCCCGGAAGAGACCACCCGGGAAGGGACTGACGCGAAACGACTGTCGGCCGTTAACTGTACAAAAGGGTCTCAATGTAATAATTAATTCCGTACAACGTAAGGATTTTGACCAAAAATTTAGAATATACTTCTGAACTGAGATTGTACCAGGGTCTCGATCCGATTATTACGGCCTGTAGACTGTATAGAACGAGTGTAGCTGACTAACGAGTAATTAATTGTTAGAGAATTATACATTGTTGAGACGTGGATATAAATCTGTTACGTGATGTAATGTGCGACGCGAACGTCGTAGCGAGATGTAAGCCTCTTGGTTGCTCGAATGGTTCCCTTACCCTTTTCTTATGTTAGTTCCATGTGAAATGAATGGAATCGTTTCTGTTACATGACAAAGTATATTCAATGGAAATATCAACCTTGGACGGAGTAATTTGATGAATGAACTGTTTTGAAATAATATTCGAACGTGTTAATTGTTTGAATTTTGAGGTCGAATAAATGTGAAGTATCTTCGGAGATATATTTGTCATTGAAAGTTACAAAATTACCAGGAGGCTTACGCTATAGGGTGAAGTACGGTGTTCCTCGCGTGTGCTCGCCATTGTGCACTATGAAAATGTAAGACGTTTTTTCTACGATCGATCCGGGATCTCGTCGCGGCATGCGACAGATTTTAGACAATTTAATTAATCGATGTTATGCAAATGTGCTCGTGATTTGAACCGCTTAGTGGGTAAATCGAATATTTCTATTGAAAGTAGCTGCTGTTTTATGTACGATAAGAGGTTTATCAATTACAGGGCGTGATTCGATACCAACACATCTATTGCGATGACCAACTTAATAGATCGCTCTTGTGTACGACACATTATTTCTTCTAGTGCATTTGTAACTAATAAATTATTAAAATCCTCTTGAAACAATCCCGTTCTGATTATTTTCCTCCATATACCAATTATTATCCCTTTAAACACTTCGTATACTTCTCAATCGAATATCTTCTAATAAACAAGGAATACTCTTATTATTAAAATAACATCTCGAAACCACACGGATAAATTCCATTATCAAATATCCTTGACAAATTTATCGCTTTATTTACATTGATCGTTGTAATACGGAAACAACGTACTGAATAATCTACTACATGATATTAATCTATTCGTATCAAATTAAAGTTTGTAATAATATATTTACCGTTCCAATTTTTATTAATATAAATTTCATAACGTCCGAGAGACGCGTCTAATTCCTAAGGAGGTTCCACTGAAACTAACGAAAAGTTATTCAACTTTGAGGAAAACACAATTATTTTGGAGTTCTAATGGAAGAAGAGTCCTGTTGGACGTCACAGCGAGGCTCAAAACAAAAGAGACGAGTAGTATATACATTAGCACTACAGGAAAAGAAGGGAAATAAGGCTTCGCCGTTGAACGTAAGTAAATGAAATGATTCCAAATTTATTTGCTGCACTGGTTTATGGCATCGACCTATCGTACATCCCTTCAAACAGTCTAAGAAACCTTTTTCGAGGAGAACATAATTTAAGATGTAAATGCTAATTTAAAATCTGAATAACATTCTAAACATTATAAATGAGCTCGTCGAAAATCTCTCCGAATAACATTCGAAACAAACAGAAACGAACTAATGGTTGCACATGAACGAGTAAGTAATGCTCGAGGAACGCAGGTGAACATTGAAGCGAAAAGATGGCTGGTTACATCGGTACAGAGGTGACAGCGCAACAGCCGAGTAATTGAAATACGAATGAGAGTTCTCATACTTTTATTCGCCGACGGTATCCATTCTCGTGAAAGCTATATTATTGTCGAGACTGTAAAATTAACATATACCGCTTACAAACAATATATTGAACGGAGTTTACGAGTACCCAGCATCGATCATGAAAACCAGACGAAAAAGAATCATAATAATAATACTTACTGCACTGTATACTAGAGATCTGTACATTTATTTTGCTTACCATCTCACCTTTTTTTCCTTTCTTTGCTCTCCGTGTATGCGACAATTTCAGAATCATAATTCTAGTAATAATTAATTAATTAATTAATAATAGGTACCGATAATATGGTAATACCCAAATGACAATTGGCAGTTTCCTATCTAATATGATACAACGTTTCTTTTTCTTCAATAATTTATCGAAATCATTAACGGAGTCCCTAATAACTTCGCAAACGACATGCTCGAACCAGCGTCAGGAACTCTCAACGCGATTGGAAAAGGAGCCATTAAGCTACCAATCGATAATATCCTCTCTAATTTCCCGCCTAATTCACCCTTTCTCTCACTCTTCCATTATACAGTCGCAGTTCAACAAGTCGCAGGGCACACGCGAAACCGTGACGAACAGTTCCACTCGCGCATTGCGTATATCAATACTTAGATACTAAGCATCCGGTAAACGCAACCAACACGACACCATATAATACAAAATCCTTTGTTGCACAGTCCGCCATCTTTACCCTCCCACGGAACCTCAACGAAAATCCTAAATTTTCATTGAACGCAACCTCATTCGTCCCGTTCAGGCTAACCGACCGTAAAAGCATTCGCAGAAGGTGCAGACATCGTTGATGCTATATTGCACACGCTAGTCCCACGCAACGGAACGATGGAGTTATGTTTCCTATATTATTGTTTTTTTTTTCTTTTTTTCTTTTCATCTGTTTGATCTTTTTCTCAAGGCGAGGAAGACTACCGGCCACGAATAGAATATCCATGCAGTGATTCAGAGCGTGACAGGAATCAGCGAAGAAATTCGTCGGGCAATGTATTCAGTGCTAAATCATTTTCGGATCTCTCCTGTTTATAGCCTAAGAAAGATTGAAGCAGCAATTGAAATGATCTGTCTAGGTCGAATTATGTTCACAAATACGACGAACGGGAAGACTAAAAACAAATTAATAGAACAATTTCTGACTTTCTTACTTCGTAGAACATCGTTTCCTGCAAGCTCACACACAGTACTGTCTAGTATCCCTCGTTTATGGACACATATATATACATACATATGTATATATATATATAAGCATGCAAGCATACACAACATTGAAACAAACACCAATGCATACGCGCACGCACACACTTAAAAAATATCATTCTGCTGCAATAGTAGAAGGAGAAAACATTTCCTGTGATGCTTCGACATGATATACTAGGATTAAAACTAGGCAAGAACGTATTGACAAGTATTATACAGTATATGAAAAGTAGGAGGCGAACGAATTATCGTCATTTCGATTACAAAAAAAAATAAAGAAAGAAACAATAGGATTGAATTTTATACGTAGGCATAATTGAACATATTGGAGTGAATCTAACGCCTTGCGCCATTTACGTTAATTATAAGTAAAGGCTGACTCGATTAATTGATTTTCTGTATATACATATATAGCTTAACATAGAACAGAGCAATTCTCCTTTTTCGAAGAAAATCCTTCGAAGAGCCGAACTCTTCTCTCTTTCTTTGCGAAAATGGAACTCGACTATCTCGAATAATACTTGGGGTAAGTACACCGTACAAGCTGTGAACTTACAAAATTAGCACAATTGTAAAACCAACTGACGGTCCATTTGTCACAAAGTTACATCAGGAGGAATCACTGTAAAGAATGAGTATATCGCTTAGACGGACATAGACATTTCGAAGGAAGAAAACCGACGACTTTCCCTACCAATGGAGATTATATCGTCTTCCACCGTTTCATTTATTCTCGCTCACGCTTCGCGTCGTACGTCGCGACGATTATATTACAAGATGTACTTTTGTACGTTTCTCGTCGATCCTAACCTTGATATTCCCATAATGCACGAGACTGCGGAAATCTTTGACCAACTTAAATGGAAAATCGAATTCAGTAACAAGATATGCTAGAAAATATATTTATGATTTTAATATCAAGTGGACTTCACGATGTCAATAGTCGACACCTACATATATTCCCACCATTAATCGCGAAAAAGAAAATTGACAGTAGACGCACACCATGCAATTTTCGAACATGCAAAATCTTTCTGGTCTGAAGTGTGTGTCGTAATCAGCTTGCGAGCTCGACTCACAAACTCATATATAAAGGTGGTCGAGGTATTGTTTTGCCGAATAAGGAAATTTGAATTTCGAACCGCTTCATCGATTACATTTCTTACAAGACTTGGCGCGGCATCACGAGGCATACATTCTGTTTATTTCGTGTTGATAACGTTCCTGTACTGCTTTCCTCTTCAACTTGAACGCAGCTGTAACTAATCCCATGTCCGGCGACCATTGCTCTGTGCATAGTTTCACTGCACCGGGTATTTCAAATCTTTGAAGATTACCTGAAGGACAAAAAAGGTTGCCGTTTAATGTTTGTCAATTTTAATACACTTGAAAAAGAGGTTACACTGTATATTTACATTTTTTAGCTTGTTCGACCAGCTCCTGCAATACCGCTTTCTCAACCTGTGTATTGTTACAGAGTTCCTCTATGCTCTTCCCGGTAATACCTAAATTACTAGCAATTTCCTCGAGGTAATAATGATTAGGCACCACTAATGCCACAGTGTATGTCTTATGTGCATCTCCATACACGCAAATGTTCTCGACGACGGGACACGTTTTCAATTCTGCTTCTACTTTGCCCAAGGACACGTATTCACCAAGTTGCAACTTGACCAGATCTTTCTTTCGGTCTATAATATTAATATTGCTCAATAAGCATACACTGATCAGAACAATACTATCTTTCTTCGCAAGAGTGTTACTGCTGTTTCTTAAACATACCAATAATTTTTATGCAACCGTCGCAATGGCATTCTCCAATATCACCAGTTCTGAACCATTGCCGTCCATCTTCCTCAAAGAAATCTTCACTCGTTTTGTCCGGCAATTTGTAGTAACCAGCAGAGACATTATTCCCTCCAATAACGATTTCTCCTCTAGGATGAGGGGTATCTGTAACTCTGTAACCAGCTTCTTCCCAGTTTTCTAAACGGATGTCACAGACTGTAGTTGGTGCTCCCACTCTTCCTGTGCTCCTATCATGAACTAAGAAAGTTATGACGTATATTAGGTATTTTAAGTGGTAGAACACAAGGTAGAGAACGATAGAGTCGCAAAATTTCATACCATCCATTACTGTAGCACACGAGGTGGTTTCTGTGAGACCATAACCCTGGGTCACTGTAACACACAGGCAATTTTTCACCTGGGTGTGCGTATCAGGTGATAAGGGGGCTCCTCCACAGAGTATAAGCCTGACTTTCCCACCAAGAACTTGCCTCGCAGCTCCAAAGATGTATTTGTCGAAAAACGGTGTATCGTAGCCTCTCCTCGACCACTTTAATTTGTACTCATAAGCGAAATTGAAGATCGCTTGCCTAAATGGACCTGATTTCTTCACTTTCTCGTTTATGCCTTTAGAAATGCGGTCTAGAATAAGCTGAAAATAAACAAAGGGTTAACTGGTAAACTTGAATGTAGAACAGCTTTATATATCATTCTATAAACTTACTGGTACTGCAGTAAGGCAAGTCGGGTGCAGAACTGAAGCATCACCCTTGGATCCTCTTTGTATCTTGCTGCTGGAATCGATCATGGTAAGGGGTGAACTGTAGCCAATAGGTACGCCAGTTAGAAGACACACACTTTCAGCGAGGAGTTCGAACACGTGAGCCAACGGTAAGAATCCCAAGAAAACGTCGTCTTGCCTAATTTCCACAGCATCACAGAAAGCCTTCAAGGTAGAGATAATGTTTCCATGTGACAATAGTACACCTTTTGGTACTCCAGTGGAACCAGACGTATACATTATAATTGCAGTATCATTCGATTGGGGCAGCGACAGCGATGCAGTTGAATCATTACCCTTTTTAATCACATCGGAAAACGGTATAAGCCTCACGCCATCCTGCAGACAAGAAATGATTAAGAATTAATAAAATCATTATAATTTCTCAGTTGTTATCACACGTTCATAAGTTTCAAACTAAATTAACACTATATTTACGGATATTTATTGTACAGTTTATTCTATTGTTCCCAGAAAGATTGATGTTCGACCGCTTAGATCTAGGAAATCAAATGTTTAAAAATGTATAATTAGAAACCATAATCACGTAATTGAATCAATCAAAATCGACCCAAACATTTAGCAAATAATGCTTCTAAAATTCAATATGAGTCAAATTGGTTGGTTACGTAAATCTAGTGTTAACAAATCGAGTACATCTGCACTACTTCCTAGTCATATATGCTTCAGATCAGTACACATAAGTTACTTTGTATGTAATGCATGATTATTGTATCTCGCGTGAGAAATTATGCTGAAAGTAAGATACACAATCGGAAATGAATGCAAGATAACAGGAATACGTCATTAATATTTATCGAGGACTGCTATACTCCAATATTCGTCAATTGTCCCATTAACTTCTCGCGATCGTTGTTGATAAATTAAAACGACCACTGAAACAAATTGAATATCTTGACACCTTGACATCAATAACTCACTTTATAACCGGTGGTGTTCGTCGGTTTCAGCTGATCCTCCATGTAAATGATCGTTTTCACTACAGATATTTTCTCAAGGAGTCGCTGGAACTTTGGTAGCAAATCATGACTCGTGATCACAGTGTCCACTTCTGTTTCATTGATACCGTGCGCTATTGCATCGTCGCCCAATGTCGCATAAATAGTCACCACCGTTAAGTTCTGCTTGAAGCATCCATACGCTGCTATCATCCATTCCGCTCTAGTTTCGGCGAAGATCACTATGTTCTTGTGAGTGGTGAGGCCCAGCTCCTTTAGTCCACGACTAAAGGAGTTGGTGAGCCTCTCCACTTCCGTGTAAGACTTCCATTTATACTCTCCCATTTTATACTGAAAAAAAAACAAAAACCAACTGTAATAACAGCTCATTACTTAAACAGGAAGCTAAAACATATTTTCCTTAGGTCCAACAGTTAGATCAATCTTGAAATTTCAAAGCTATCTACAAGTATCTTTGACAAAACTATCCATCATAAAAATCCCCTACAATAACGAATAGCTCAAGACATTCCTACGAAAATTAAAATAGAACACTCTTTGCATACATATACTAGAACCTAATGAAAACTTCTATTGAAACTAATAAAGAGACTTATTACTGCAATTGTCTTGCTACCCAAAATTCAAAGACAATAATACACCCTCTGTAACGATCTCGATATTTCTCAAACTTCCTATTGTTCACAAGAACAACAATCGTAGCTTAGTACCTTTTTAAATATTCTACCATTAGGCTGAACTTCATCCTCCTCGGCGAGGATCTGCCTGGTGCCAAGGCACTTCTTCTGGTTATGCAACTTGGTGACCCAGGATAACATTTTCTCGAGCGTGTCGATCTTCTCACGCTCGAGGGCGATGTGCATTTGCTTCGGAGGGTCAATGCTCCTGAAGGTGATACTTCGCTCATCTTTCGCGACCGGGCGAGCCTTGATCCTCCTCGAGGCCTTCCTCTTTTCCCAGGGCCGTTGCAGTATGAGGTAGACTGGGAACGTCAGCAGGTCGTACACGTAGGAAAGCGCCTTGATCGCGTGGATCGCGCTGGCAATCCAGAAGCCTTCCATTTCCCTGGAAAGAATGCAGGCGAGGTTAGAAAGAATCTTGTTTCCCTAATGCCGGTATCCTTGGCCATCTTGCCGGCGTTCAGCTAATGCTCCTTCAGACACTTTTCTCAGGCTACCCTGTGTACGACTTTGAATAAGGTTTCACTGTATTATCAGAACTTCGGTAATCATAGTTAACCCCATTGCACTCGAGAGGTAACTCTCAATCACTACTTGATTTCATTTAATGAAACTATAAAATTTGATATTTAACCCTTTGCGCCCGGACGTTTTTCATTAGAAATATTTGAACATTTTCTGGCGAGATAAAGACGATATTTCGTGAAACTAACTCGACGAGAAATCACATACATTGAAGAACAAACAGTATTTCTCAAATTGATGCATTATACGAAGTATAATATTAAATAACAAATTTTATGGTTTTACTTATGAAATCAAATGGTGAGAGTCACCTCGAATGCAAAGGGTTGATAATGAACTGTGTATCATGCATCGGTGTGCGAAATATTGGGATAAAATAGCTTTGTTTCTTGTGATTTCTCTTTGAGTTCATTTCGAAAAATATCATCTTTGTCTGGCTAGAAAATATGAAGTATTTCTGATGAAATACTTCCGAGTGCAAAGAGTTAATACTAGATGGTGCAAGTACTAGTAAAAAAGAAGAGTGAAGTGCATCATTTCTTGTGCATGTATTCATGTCTAATATGAGTGCATTAGAATTAGCAGTTTGGGTATCATCCAATCAATAAGGCATTGGTATCTACATTATTATAAACCTTTGTTGTAAACTTTATATTATAGACCTAACCAAGACCTGTTTGGAAGCCTATCAAAAAACAGGCTACAGTAGATGCAGACTACTGACACAGTGCATTACAAATCTAAATATTTGTAGTCACCCGCGTTAGTACAGCATAGTGTCAACGATATTAACCCTTTGCACTCGAGAGGTGACTCACTCACCACTTGATTCCATACAGTAAAACTATAAAATGTGATACTTAATATTATACTTCGCATAATGCATCAATTCAAGAAATACTGAAACAAAGTAGCTTTGTTCCTCAATGTACGTGATTTCTCTTCGAGTTAATAAAATATCGTCTTTATTTCATCAGAAAATATTAAAATATTTCCAGTGAAAAACTTCCGAGTGCAGAGAGTTAACAGAAGCAATTTCGATCGTTCAAGGCTACAACCGGAAGTACTATACAATTGCCAAATGCGCGTCGTAGCGTATCACGATAGACTAATTCCAATGAGAATGACTAATGGCAATGAAGTCAACAAATTGAAGAACTCTAAAAAGTAGAAATTACGCGGAAGCTGTAAAAGTGGAAGGAACGTCCTTGAACAATCGATACTCCTTTCTAGAACGGTAATTCAATAACAAAACGCCATGTTCAGTGGCGCTGGCAAAGCATCAGGAAATGTTTTTCAACGGTCTAGAGTTACATTCGGAAGACTTCCTGTTTCTAATGCCGAAACCTCTGTTGGTACGTCGCAGAATTCATCCATTTTATTCATGAACGGGCGAGCATTCCGTTTATAAATAAACAACACTTACGCCACACCGAGTGCGACAAACGGAATCGTAGGGTTAAAGTACGGTTGCAAGTCGCGCCCATTAACATTTATTTAACCCTCAACTGGTACGGAGATCAGGATGACCCACATAGCCATCACGATGCAGCCAGTCCGATCAGTTACGGCATCAACCGACTGAAAACTTTTCGTGCCCCATCATTGATGCGTCACTGATCTTTCAATGGGTTTTCAATGAACAGCAGCTCGAGCTTCTTCTCTGTCGACAATTTTCCGTGTAGCCTTTGTTTATTCTACGATCAATCTATATCGAGGATTAACGAACTCAATGAAAGCGCGCAACAACATCGTCAACGATAAATTTCATTTTGTTTCCATTTTAACCCTTCGCGGACGAATGTCGACATTTCGGTGAAATGAAAGTTTCATATTTTGAACACTAAATAGCAAACGAATGATTTAATCACTCACACACCAAGAGATCAGTATGTAGGTTCCTTCTTCTCTATTGTTTAACACGTTGAATGCCATGTCACCGATGACCTCAAATCGAATTACTATAGTTCACTCAATTAACACTAGAACTATCAGTGAAAATGACTTTTGCTACCTTTCTTTCGCAATTATTGATATCTTTGAAACATTGAATATTCGAAATGAAAATAGTTTTACTTGAATACTATAATGAATGTCCGAAGAAACTGAAAATAATCTATTATTAAAATTCTAATAGAGATTACATATCCATCATTAAATTCTCGGTAGTTCTAGTGTTAATACATTTCTGTGTTATAAATAATGCTACCTAATACGGTGGAATTCAACTAAATCAACGTGCAATAATGCAACTCAATCAAATGGTTTAACGTTAAATTTCGTTCATTTTGTGTTTTGATCTAAATCGTGCGGCATTCAATGTATTAAGCAGTCGGTGTATAGTTTAGCTACCTGCTGAAGGTTATGTATATTTCAAAGATTCTTCGTCCGCAAGGGGTTCGAAGCTATCTTCGTTTCTTCGATTAACAATGGCGTACACGTTTCGAAAGTCTTCTGAATGCCAACCGATCGTTAGATGCTTTCCCGTTTTTCGGAATCCTCGCAGCTGATTAGGGTTAGAACGCGAGGGCGGGTGAAGAACATCGATGCGTGCATAGCGCTAAAATAGTGCGTGCCAACGGGCCGGTTCTACGATCACGCTATTTCGTAATCGTCAGATTTGATAGAGCCAAATGATTGCGTACTTGAACGGTCCTGGCTGCCCGTCGCACGCGTTTTGATGGCTAATCGGACGCTGAATGGACCGCATGCGAGTGTCGCATCCAGCGTGCATCCGTGCATAGAAAAGCCGTGAAAGACGAGGAAGAAAGTGTTCTGAAGCTGGTCCATTGTGTTTAAGGTATTTCGCAACGTTCAGTTTCTTGTTTAAGGAATGTACTTTGACTGCCAAGTAAACACTCATCAAAACTCCCATGCAATCGAAACAGTTTTCTTAACCCATTTGCATCATAAGCGCATATATGCGCCCTACCGTTGTGTAATTTGTAAGATTAGAAAAACAGTGTCACCGGAATTTGGGTAACATGGCAGTCGAAGTGTTAATTTTATCGTGACGCGTGAAAAGTATATACATACATCATTATCCGTACAATATCAATATTTTAGATTGATTTTATTACAGTTCCTCTGTAACGCATATTGATTGCGGTAAGTAGATGCAGCGTGCAACGATCAGGCAACAATTCAGATTGAAACTTTTCAGAAATGAAGAGTACAAGAACATTTTGCATCACAGATTTCCGGTTCATGTGGAATTCGCAGTAATGATTCACTTTCGCGATTACTGATTTATGGAAATTCCAGATTTTTTATAACCCCTTGGTCATGACACGGAACGAGCACGATTCTCGGGAAAGATGCGTTCGCATGATATTCCTGCGGTGCTGGTAAGAGTGCATCGTGAGTAAGCATTCCGAGCATGCTCCGTGGTCTAGAAAAGTTTCATTTGCGGGGTTAAGTATCACTTGTGCAAATAAAGAAATGTGTCTTCCTTAACAGGGTAATTGCACGAGACACCCGAAGGCCAGTTTTCAATGAAACCACGATTCGTTCCGATTACGATCGGAACCACGCCACTCGATTTCTCGACGTCGGGAAACCTAGGGGCTCTATAAACTTCGGCGAACGATCCTCTTAAATCGAGTTGGGGAAAAAAGAAAGTGCCCCCGCTGCTGCCGAGTTCTATCGAATCGTGTAATAAGAAGATATGATTCCCACGTTTCACGTTCTACTCGTTTTTACGCTAGGCTGCCCGCAGTGGTTATATTACTCCCGGCACTCCGTTGCGTACCGGGTGTCCAGTGGGAACCGAGTAACGAAACACGATTTTCTCTTTCGATTTTCAATTCTCAATGTCACTACTAATCAATATACAAGATATTAGAGAAATCTTTAACTCCTTGCCTTACGATTGAATTTCGTAGGTGAATTTGTTAGAACCATTTATCACGTTGAATTCCCTGAAGGTGTATGAAACATTTAAAACTAAAACTACCGAACATGTCAAATTGACGCACTCCAAAATGTTCAATTTGCAAGTATGTAAATTATGGAGGCGTTCCTGCGAACAATTCAAACTCATGTATTCGCTACAAGACTGAAACACCCTTCAAATCTCAACGAAGATATTATTATAATTTTTATAAAACACTGGAAATACGTCACCCTAATTGCTCGGTAGTTTTAGTGTTAATACGTCGAATGCCATGGAGGTCATCGATGACCCAACCGAATCGAATTACTACAGTTCACTCAGTTGAACTATGATTATTTGAAAAGATTTCTATATTGCAAATAATACTGTCTAATACAGTGACATTCAACTAGATGAACATGCAGTAATAATAATGCAATCAAATGACTTAGTACTATATTTGTATCTTGGGCTAGGAAATCATGCGACATTCAACGTGTAATGCACTGGTAAAAGAAAACATTCCGTGCTCTTTTTATGTCTAGACTTAGTATAAACCATACAAATTGCTAACAAGAGCAATGTTGCATTTAAACTTAACACCCAATGACATTTATGTTTATTAAACCATATTACAAATCTTCATCTGACACGATACTGTAAAGCAAGGGGTTTAGTAACCATTACATAGGTGACTGACAATTTGAAGAAAGATTCTTCTACACAATATAAAACGAAACTCAAGAATAACATATTCGCGATTTCAGTTTCGTTTCGAAGTTATCATTAATTAATAATTCTCTGTACGTGCCACGGCGATCCACCAATAGCGGCGCGCGTTGGGTAGGTCAGTTCAAGCGCGAGCAGTGGCGTAGCACGCGAGGGACATGCGTCCGACGCACCATCGTCAGATTTTGAATCGTTAAAAACTCGGAAATAAAGTTGAAAACGGAATTTTTGTATTCTTGACTTTCGTGTTACATTTTGCCGAAGAATCGTCCCTCGAATTTTCAGCCACTTGTTGCGGGAGGTTACGTAGGTATCGCGTGAATCATTGAACTACCCGCGAAGAGAATTTGTGGTTCGCCAACACCTTGTATATTACACCGGGGCTTACGCGCGTAACCGAAAGGACGACGCTGCCGCAGACGGTCGACACGAGATCCGAATATCTCCGCGGACTTTGAACGTGTTAGCCAGTGGCAGACGAGATGAATGCGGCTGAAGGCGGTGTGTAACGAGCGACTCGTGTCACGCACATGGCCTCCTATCCGCGGTTGCAAACGAAGGGCAATGTCTCCGCCTAACTAGTCCCGCGCCGCTTTACCAATTATTTCTGCGACTTCTTCCTGGACTTCGTATCCGATTCTGTGGCTGTAGCGGAAGATTCTGGAATATCGCGAGTCATGTTCATTGCGACACAATGGACGATCGATTTATTATCGTAATTGTACACTTGAGTCGCTCGGATGCGGTTAACACGAGAACTACCGAGTAGTTCAATTGACTTTTCGAAATTCCTCTGTAGAAACTCCAAGAGTGCATGTTTTAAGACTTTCCACTTGGAAGGTGACTCTCAGTTGCCACTAGATTTGGCACATGAAAACTATAAAATCTGATATTTAATTTTAATCTTTTTATAGTGCTTCGATACGTGAAATATTGGAATAAAATAGCTTTGTTCCTCAATATACTTGTGACTTTCGAGTTAGTTTCAAAGAATATCGTCTTTGTCTTGTCGAAGAATGTTAAATATTTCTAGTGAGAAACTTCCGAGTGAAAAGGGTTCAGACTTTAATTGATTTTCAATTGAGTTTGCGCATTGCTACAGCAATTTCTTTAATGACTTCTCAGAGAAACATCATGAAGCATGTATTGAGACTTTAATTGATTTTCAATTGAGTTTGCGCATTGCTACATCAATTTGTCTAATAATTTCTCAGAGAAACATTTGTTCTTTTGAATAATTGCGAAAAGAAGACATCAGGAATGAGTCATTTCGATCCATCTGGTAGTTTCAGTGTTAAGTCCACGAAAGACAGATTGAAGAAATTTAGGTTTTAGAAATGATTATAGAACATATTCGGAAGCTGTAGAAAGAAACGAGTAAATCCTTGAATAACTAAAACGAATATGATTTATTCCAAGCAAATTTACAAAACTCGTAGAATATCGAAAAATCGACTTAACCGCGTTGTTCTGAGCGACTCATTTCAAGCTTCCGTTGACTCTAGAACTACCATTTTTTTACAATTATTGAAAAGATACAAGTTTCTATAGAATCATTAAATAACCTGATTTAAGAACATACGTGAATTTATACTTCTTCAATTATCAACTTCCTGATTCTGAGTTATCATAACTTTATTAACACTAGATTAAAAAACAATTTAATTTGACTCATATTGAATTTTATAAACATTATTTGATAAATGTTTGAGTTGATTTTCATTGATTCAATTATGTAATTATGGTTCCTAATCATACATATTTAAACATTTGATTTCCTAGATCTAAACGAACGAGTATCGATCTTTCTGAAAATGGTAGAACTCTATAGTAAACTTCCGTAAATCTAGTGTTAAATGATAATGTATGCAGTACTGTTTCAAATGTAACTCGAATTCGATATATTTCCTTTGCAAATAAACGATGGAAGACACATAACCTGATCCAATTTAAATCTTTCACTCTCTTTATAGATTTTCCCGCTTTATTATACACGCATCGGACGCAAAAATAGTAGAGAATCATTTTTCCAAGTGCAGGCAGAGAAGTCTGCAAAAGAAGTTCACAAAGACCGCAGAATTAGACCGGAAAGAACAATGGCATAAAGTGCAAGGTCGTCGAGACAAGACTGTCTGTTTAAAAAAGCGATAAGCGGTGATCGCCGATTAATTACACGGTTCACCCGCGGAGATAAACTCTCCGGCGCGATCGTAATTGAACTCTGAACGTTAAACATATACGTTTTTTTATCCTACTACAAGATAACGCTTCCGTCTTCCACTTGAATTCATAGTTTCCACGGCAAACAGAAGTAACAATACATTTTGAACGCATAAATACAATAACCGGTATTAACTTTTTGAGACACACGATTTTAAATAAGAAAACAACCCAAGCTGCACGGAATTCAAACCACACAATTCGCCAACCTTAATCACAACAGTCTCTACAACTTATTAATGCGTTTTAACGTGTACACATTTTTGCTTTCACTTATTTACGCATTTATTTCGTCCATAGCATTGCCAACTGGATGAACAACCTTAAATAAAATATCAAACTGTATGACTATAGGTAACTACAACTTTTCGAGGTGGGTTAAAATATATCCCACCGTGCATAACAAGTTAAGCAAAGGATAGTACAGCTTTTAACCCCTTGCCCTACGATTTCTCTCCCAATTACGCTCAACAGAGACATTTCATTCTTCATAATTCGTTATAAAAAGCGGAAAATTCTACACTTATTTTATGTCTACATTTACTCAGAAGCATTACAATTAATAATAGAAAAGTAATATTCCATTCGGGTTTGGAAGAATTAAGTGATATTTACATTTGTTAAATTCTATTTCTAATCTTCGCCACGAGCCTTACACGATATTGTAGGACAAGGGGTTAACCCACCCAAGTCCAAAGAGTTCAATGACGATCAAGACCTGTCCTATTCAAGATCGAACACTCGCAAAGAAGCACTTACCCACCGCCATCTTTCACAGTTGGTTTCACACGATTTTCTCTTAATTCTTTGCCTATTCTCACATCTATTTCTCGATTCGACTCGAGTCGATCGAGCTTAGATTCATCGTCGACAATCACTGTGGACCATCGTTGCGGTGTCCAAGTAATATCTTTCTTTGCAAACGCGAGAATGACCCATTGACTACTCGCCGATACGCACAGCTTTCTCCCGGTAACGCGAAATTGAAATTCGTTCAATTGTTGTCGCACATTCTTTACGCTTGAATTTACATCGAAATTTGTTGATATTTCCTTTCGAACATCGACTGTTGTATTAAATCGATCAGCTTCGGATAAGCAATGAATCTCGCGACCGATTCTCTGACCGGTTTTTCGAAATGCCACTCGGAGAACCTCATTTGCTGTTCCATGGCGTCGAATGCATTTTACAGCTCGATAACAAGCCGCGACAAATGTATTAAGCTTCGCGACAATCTTTCTACGCGATAATCCACGATTCGGGAACTCTTGCAGTTTCTGCCAATGTCCTGGCTTGATGATCTTTACCACCATGATCGCTACACTATCGCGATACGTCTGGACTCGAATATCGTCCACCTAGCATCGGAAAGTATGGCCTCGATCATGAGTCTGAATTTATTTACAGTAATTGCGGTTTACGTGGGTAAGCCACCTAGATTATGTAAATATATTGAAAAAAAACAGCAGATTAAAATATAAACTATTTCAGTGTGCAAACATAAGTGACCGTCGCTATAAATATGTGCCGGTCGTTGTGTCGTTCGGGCGACATTCAGGTACAAATTTAAAATTCAAACTATGTACAGGAAATAATAATACGATAAAGAATAAGTTACAATGGAATTACTGCGAAAGATATGTTCGAGAATAAGTTACGATAGAATTATTGCGAAAGATATCTTCAAGGATATGTTTCACTACCAGGCAGGGATAGTGTTAGCGGAGTCGCGCGAGAAGCAGCTTGGCAAAGTGTGTGCGGCTCAAAGAACATGCGAGCATGCGAGAAATTGTTTGCGACAGGCGTGGAGAGTCTAGGGAGAGCGAAAATTAGAGCGTTCTCTAGAAGTGCGTCTAGAATCAATGATAATCTACGACTCACTGTTTGTCCTCCACGATCATGATGCCGCTATTTCCGGTCACCCCTTATTTCCAGACGATACGTACCTCCGTTACTCTAACGGGGGTCGGGTTTGATGCGGATTAATGACACTGCAAGAAAAACCATTGCCAAAATCGGGCCGGTTAACGCGTTTCGGGTGCATGCTGTTTCCGGTCTGTCCGGGGTCGGTCGCTGCTGCGTCTCCCGTGTTTCTTTTTTTTTCTCTCTCTCTTTCGGCGAGCATGAAACTCCGTTCTCGACGCGGATACCGATTCCTCCTCGCTCGCGACTACCAGCGTAATTTTACCGTGGCCTTGGTGAACGTTAAACGAACCGCGATATCGATTTCGAAAAGCCGGGATCGTGTGTCGAACGTTTAACAATGGTAAACGCCCGTCGTCGGCCTGGTTGGAATTGCCACGTGATGAGGACACGTCTATCACGCGATAATCAGCGTGATCGTTATTTTTCAGTGAAAATAGGAGTCACGTTCGCGATTAAAACCAATTTCGTTGGGAGAAACTGATTAAGTTCGTAGGGAAGAATTTGTGGGACGTGTGTATACAAATTCCGGGGATGATCGTCATATTGATGAGTGTTTTACTAAGTTTTCGTGTATGTGAATATTTTGCGTGATTAATGTTTTATCAGTCAAAATGAGAGTCACGTTCACGAATAAAGCCAATTTCGTTAGGAGAAACTGATTAAGTTCGTAGGGAAGATTTTGTGGGACATGTATTTGCAAATTTTGGGAACGATCGTCATGATGGTGAGTGTTTTACTAGGTTTTCGTGTATGTGAATATTTTGCGTGATTAATATTTTTTCAGTGAAAGTGAGAGTTACGCTCACGATTGTAGCTAAGTTCATTAGAAAAAACTGATTAAGTTTGTAGGGACGAATTTGTGGGATGTGTGTATACAAATTCTGGGGATGATCGTCATGATGAATGTTTGTTAAACAGTTTGTTTTGCTTTCCTGTGGATGCTACTCCTAAATGCATCAGAATAAAATTGTTTTGTGTAGCTGAAGTATCTTTGGATGAAAGAAAAAAAGGTTTCTTGAATGATCCTGCAAATGTGCATGTTTCCTAAAGTTTATACCGATTGCACAAAGGCGCGGGAAACGGATGTAGCACTGGCATTTCGTGAAATCCGTCCGTTGCAACGAGAGTTCTCGGATTCGTTGCTAGAGGGCTTGTGTATTCAGTTTCTGTTCTTGCTAGCACCAGTTCGCCCGTCGACCTTTTCCTATAGATCCTCTATTCCACTGTTTCACCTGCCCATAACTATGTAATTGTAGGACAAAGACTCGCTAGATAGCGCCAGCAGTTTCTAACAAGTTACGGAGGGAACGTTCTCTACGCCATCACCTATGGCTGCTGTTTCAAACGAATTAATCTCTCCTTACCTAATGCCTGCGCAACACTTTGAGGAAACAAATCAATCAATCACGACTCCCACTAAGTCCTAACGAAATGTACTAATAACATATACTTAATTCATCTGTTGCTAATCATCCAGGATAGAATCAACCAGAAATATTCTTACAACTAATTCAAAACACGAACCAAAAAGATTTAATCGCAAGATGAGTTAAACGAGTCGATACGCAAGGTGTGTCAATTGCTCGTGCTATAACCCGAAGCAAAACAAGTCTGCATAAGTCGAGAAAGTTCAACAAAACTTTAATGAGAAAATTGACTTCTATAACGCATAAACAATGCATTCGTCCTTGTGGTAAGTAGATAAGTAGGCGAGTGATGACAATCGTATTAGTGCAGTCCTATTCTATAGCATGTATACCCGAGCCGCCATATTGTATTTTCTGGAGTTGCTCCGGTACGATATTCCTCCGCAATCTCCGCGAACTTCTACAGTTTTCTGGAGAAAATAACAATGGGAAGCTGTTTCGAATTTTGCGCCGTGCTATCAGTTTATAACATCGAAAATATAATTAACCTCTGTAACGAGCATGCACCGAGCAAAGTTTAACGGAATAAATTCAACTTTCGCGAAACTCCGAATCTGTTTCCGCGAGTTCAGGTAAACCCGGCAAACAAATTTCCCCGGTGTGCCGCATTCGCACTCGAAATATTATATATAGGTCATCGGAGACTGTTAAGACGACACTCGACTCATCTCGCAGTCTTGCAGACCATTGACTGTGCACCGAGTGGTCCGGTCAAGTGCACTTTACCCTCGGCGTGCAGCCACGCGCCCATTTATCGCGAAACAAACGTGTCACGCTGACACACGCGGCAGCGAAACTTTAAACGTCGACTGCCGCGATGCTCACCGGTGACCGGCGTTTCCGAATTGCTTGGAAATAGTTGCAGCACGTGAGATGATTGATGACTGAATGTATTTAACACTAGAACTACCGTGCCAATTAAAATGGCTGGTTCCAGTTTTCTTATTTCGCGATTATTGGTATCTTAAAAGTATTAAATATCCTAAATGATTTGGAAAATAAACAGCATCACTTGAATACTGTAATGAATACGTGAAGAAAATCTATTGTTACCATTTTCACGCGCGTTACATATCAATCGCGTTAAATACTCGGTAATTCTAGTGTTAACCCTTTGCAGACAAATGTCTACATTTCGGCGAGACGAAAGTTTCGTAGAAAACTAAGTCGTGGACGAATGATTTGATTGCTCGAACAGCAAGATGTCAGTACGGAGTTTCCTTTTTTTATATTAATTAAGCAATTGATAAGTAATTCAGCTTCATCTGCTGAAGATTTCGTATATTTTATAGTATCACCGTCCGCAAAGGGTTAATAATCAGTGAACAATATTTATCTCTGCAAATGTCTACAGCCCAGAAAACGAAAGCTTCGCCACACAAATCGTTTGTCTCGTGTTTCGTATTTTAGTTATATAACTTGTATTCAGGATAACCTTTACAAGTCGAATTTGTTTTTTTCGTGTAGATCAAAATTTGATTGCCCCTCCTTCGACGCATTTGTAATGCATAGACCCGATGCATCCTGTAGGATCATTGTTCTACAATCTCTAGAAGTCAGATCTTCGATTGTCAAACCTTTTTCACTCGACAACTGGATAAGACGGAACCTGTACAATTCGAAGATCTTTTGCCTTGCTATAATATTTGTCGAGATTCAACAATAGAACGCATACTTGACCAGACTTTATCCCGACAAGAGCTGACAAACGTTTTAATTATGTAATATTTGCCTTGACTAGAGAGATTGTGATGACTTTTACTTCGTACTTTTCCTCAGTTTGCTGTAACCTTTTTACTCTCTTCTTTATTGTGACGTAACATGTAAATGATGTTTTAATGTCACTTGATTTTATCGCCAATGCGATGACATTATGTTTTTGTGCGATACGAATATTTTAAGGACCAATTACGCGCCAACATCTGTGTACTATGAAATATTTTTCTCAGCTGGCCACGCGATAATAATTATTCAAAAAACGTGTATTATTAATGATTAACACTAAAACTACCTAGCAGTTAACTCTCTGAAACTTTCCTATGGTAACTCCAAGCGTGCATCTACCGAGACTTTAATTGACTCATAATTCAGTTTGGGTACTGCTAAATCAATTTCTTGAATAATTTCTCAGAGAAATATCTGTTATCTTTTTAATAATTGCAAAAAGAATAAATCAGCAAGTAGCTTCTGTATTAATAATTGTTCCTATTTATTTTTTCCACGAAAGAACAAACGATTGTATAAAACGCTCGAGGTTCTCGTGTTAGTCAACGCGTTAAACGTTGAACCGGCGCGGAATATCCAGCGACCTTCGAACCCCATCTCGTGATTCCCGTGAAAATTGAGAAATGAATTTCATATCAATGGAGCCGCGTATCCCTGGAAATATGTATCATACGCGAATCACGTGCATTATGTAATACAGGTTGGACACGAAACGGCCAATTGGACTGCTGGACCCGGATCTTCCAATTGAGCTGTTTAGGCAGATTCCTTCCCACCACATCCTCTATTCGAAAATAGTAGCCGCGCTCAGGATGCGAATCTGAATCCGAAATAATCAGTAGAACGCAATTAAAAATGGAAAGTTATTCTTAATCGCGTATCGCGTGTAAAACCAATCGTTCTTACAATTCAATGCGCGGAACGATTCAGCTAACCTTGAACAGGAAAAACACAGTCTTTACGAACGACTTCGCGCGGAACTGACTGCGATTAATCTGCAATTAACAGTCTACTGGTCAATAGAAGAAAATGGTTAATGTACGTAATCAACCGCATGAATTATTCGCAGCATTTGAATCTCATTTTGAACTGGAGTAGTCTCAAACTAATGAATCGGAATATTTAATTCTTTGCTGTCGGATGTCGACAAATCAGAGATCGAATTTTAATATTTGGAACACTAAATAGCAAGCGAATGACTTAGGTAATCAAACAGCAAGGGATTAGTACGTACGAATTGAAAAACTAGAAACTTGAACAAAACGTGTAGAATCCAATGATCGTTATTTTAATTAAAAATATTGATTACTAAAGAATCTGTGTTCATTTGAAGGTGATCCTAAAAATCGGACATTCCATACGTTACAACCTAATAAATAATTAGTATTTTAATTGTATAACTTGTATTCGGGATAACCTCTACAAGTCGAATTTGTTTTTTTCGTGTAGATCAAAATTCGATTGACGTAGGAGAGACGAGTAATGATTAACACTGAAACTACCGAGTTAACTTTTTGAAATTTCTCTATAGAAACTCCAAAAGTCCATCTATCGAGACTTTATTTAACTTACAATTCAGTTTCCGTACTGCTAAATCAATTTCTTGAGTAATTTCTCAGAGAAACATCTGTTATCTATTTAATAATTGCAAAAAGAAGAAATCAACAATTTGATTAATAAATGATTGAAGGACCGTGAAAGAAAATGGCGTTTGTGTCGAGACATCCGCGGCCAGTAGCGAAAGACAAACGGCTCGGAAGCTTGGAGGGCCACTCGGAGAGCCCTGTCCTCTTTGGGAACAGACAACGGGGTCACTGAGCGTCGTGACCACCGATACACGTGTATACAAGGTGTCCAAAGTATTAACTATTATTAACGAGCAATTTAACACTTTGAATACCACGTATACACTC